AACCCTAAGCATGTAATTCTATCCGTTCATAGAATATGGATCTTTGCATAAATTAAATTGCACATAGAACTTACAAGAATTCAGTTTTTAGTCCTTCCTTGTTTTCTTGATTGATGAGGTTGATCCACGATCCTCCTTTCCGTAATCTCTAATGATGAGTTCGTCTTTGCCTATGAATCGTTTCTCTCTCCCGCGTCTCTCGTCTTTCCATAAATCCCTTGATGTTGAGAACTTTATTTTCGTATGAGATGGGAGAGAGGGGCATGTAGTATATATAGGAGGAATCCTACAAACCTATGCCTACTAACATTCCCCATGTTCTAACCTAACTTACTGTCCAAGTCAAACATCACAAATTGGACTCTTTAATATTAGAATATTAAATAATTCATTAAATACATATTCACCTTTAATAAAGTTTGACTATTAATTCAATTCGGTTCAACTAATTATATGGTCCACAATAATATAATAAATTAAATATTATTACAGTTAATATATAAATGTTTATCTAAATTAGTAACTAAATTCCCGCCTAAGTATTTCATTGTTACTAAAATGGAAATATATTTATAAAATATTTGAATAATCAAGCCTGAGGTACATGTTTAAATTTGAACCCAAAAATGAAGTCAATCTCACATTAAGAATTCCTTATGACTCTAGAATCAGATAAGAATTTTGTATTATCTGATGATTAGCTCCTAAAACATGGCGTATACAATCGTTTTTTGAAATTTAAAGTTCGAATTTACTAATAAATACTTCGTTTGATGGTATTATTTGTCTAAACGCATTTTATCACACTATAAATAATACATTATGATTTAAATATTTTCACAAAAAGGTTTTTCACGCAAAGGTGTTATTTTACACGGTACAATTGCAATCCAACTCTTTCCACCACCATAGAAATTTTTAACAAAAAAGAAAAAAAAAATGTACTCACATTGGTATTTAATAAAAAAAAAATATGATAAAAATTCACATTTGTTTAGTAGTATTTTGTGGGTAGTTGGTATCCGAGCTACCCGACCTCGAGTCGTTCTCAAAGGAAGACGGTTCGGAGCTTTGTTCACCACTTAATTGTCCAAATCACACAAAATGAGAAAATAAAAGCTAAAGATGCTAATCAATGAGTTTTTTTTTTTTCTTTTCCGAAACGGTAGAACATTTTATAGCACTGAATGTACACATATACAAACCGAGAACCAACTGGTTCTAATGCAAGAGAGCCATCCACACTCGGATGCTCTAAAAGAAATACAGAGACTCGAGAAGCTAACACACACTGAATCGAATACACATGCTAAGGCCAGAGGCTAATCTGTAACCCTTAGCACCATATGAAGCTCAGATCATTTCAAACACTGTTGGATTTTCGACGTACGAATCAATAGCACGCGCAGCGGAATTTTAAAATTTTCTTACCAACAATGAAGATCCGGCTATAGCTATTCGATATGATCTTAGATCGTGTGAATGATACACGAAAACTTACAGTTATTCGTCTTTTGTCCTCGACTATGGTATCCACGCAATCCAGTTTTTCGGTGCACGATCTAACGCCAATGAATCCCTTCCGGTGAAGAAGCTGTATCCACGCAATCCAGTTTTCCGGTGCATGACCTAACGCCAACGAATCCTTTCCGGTGAAGAAGCTAGGAATCCTTGATCTAGAAAGCTAGAGAGTGTTTTATTTTACGATGCATCTCTCATCTTCTCTCATCTAATGATTCGATCTAATCGATTAAAATTATGAATGAGATAATGAGACATTTATAATTAGGTCAAACCTAATCATATGGGCCTTAAGAAATCCTACAGCCCAATAGGTAATTAGACCTAATCCTATTAATAATTTAATTGAGTATAAATCTAATTTAATTTAATTAATTATTTTTCAATTAATAATTTAATTAAGTGTAAATCCAATTTAACTTAATTAAATATTTTCCATCAAATAGAATATAATCTCATTACTCAAAAATAAATATTTCAATCCAATTGAATATTTAACACTCTTGATTCACTCTTAGCCAGAAAATTGATTGCATATTCTGTTACCTATAGGCCTTCATATATTGACATAAATCTAATTTATGATCCTTACGAAACTCCTAGACTGCGTCGAAGGACGAAGTCAAAATATGAAGTACGTTTATATGGACAAGCAAACAAATCTTCGTGTAGAACTCAATAGTGATACGGTCCCTTCATTCACGAACCACTCGATTAAGCTTAGGATTTGAACGTGTGTCGATGATGGTGGTGGTGGTGTGGTGGGAGGTTATGGAGGAGAAGGTGAAGAAGTTGCTAAAAATCCCGTGGCCGGCCAGTTGAGGATGGAAAGGGAAGTCAGAGAGATTAGTGTTACCTTTACCTTAATATTATCACATTATTAATTGTTCACCTACCTTGAAATCGTCGACAGCCAATTAGGGTTATGAAAAAGGGGAAAAGTCGAAAGGGAAATGAAGATATAAATGCTGAAGAAATGTGAGGTTTAAATTGTCATTTCTTACATATCCTTTTCTTTTATCCAATTGGCTTAACTTTTTTTTTTTCCTAAACATCATATTTTGTAACAAAAGATACAAATTTAATGCGTAATTCTTCCATTCATTTGAAACTTTAACAATGATTTAGCAAAGTTTGATGTATTATATGATGAAATCGAACATTGCATTGGAAAAGTAGAGTCGAGAATTCCAAAATGATATATGATTCATTGATATACATCACTAGTAGGCGGGCAACAAACGATGGTTGACGATGTTGGCCAGCAGCTGCGAAATGGTCGGATCGATCTTCAATTCTAACACGCTCTAAATTTAATAGCTCATACATGATCGTGAAATTAAATAGTGTTTTCTTATGAATTAAAAAAACATATATAATTAAAATAAAAGTAAAGGTATAATAGGTGTTCCCTATATACGAGGTGTATGAATCAATGTATGAGGCAATCAAAATATTTTCTAAATCTTAAGAAAGTCTTATTTAAATATACCCAAATTTCCCAAATCCTAAAAAGTCTTTAAAAATCTTAAAGGAATACACCCCTTAGATGTAGGGTTGAGACATGAGATTAAAGTTTTGACGGTGAAATGGGGATACCTATTATCAGGTTTGTACAAGGAGTATTTGATGATGGAAGGTTCCAACCAAAAAATAAAGGTTCTAAAAACTTAGCTACTGTAACTTTCTAATATTATTAATAAAATCACATAAGGGTGTGACTGATTATGAATTTGATTTGGTTTTGATTGTTTTATTTTATTTTATTTTTTGTTAACCATATATATATAGTTAATTTTGAAAAAAAAAATAATTGAGTTGGTTTGAGTGAATTTTAAGTATGTATTAAAGTAATATTTAAAAATAAATTGATTAAAGATTATTTGATGGAAAAGTAGGAGAAAAGTGATTGAAAGTAATAAGTTAACTTTTCTCGAAAATAATAGGTTAAAATTATATGAGTGGATGAATATTAAATTAAAGTTAATGTGATGTAAAAAAATGATTGATTGATATTATTTGATTATATTGATAATATTAAAGATAATGTGATTAGGTTAAATTTACAATTTTGATTGATTTTTTTTTAGTTTGGTTGATAATATTGATAATATTTTTTTTACTTGCAGAAGAGTTGTTGTGTAATGCTGGGAGGCATTGTAATTTCTTAGGTTAGATGTAAAGCTAGTTGAGCTCTATATGGGTACCAAAACCAATTAACCAAGCTAGCTGAAACTAAATTAAAGCTAATTTTGAAGTGATGTGAAAAGAGGAGTTGGTTAAGGATTACTCGGGTTTACAAACAGGTCTTGTACTGTCTTTGTTTAGCACCGTCCACAATTGCTATTTTCTTGCAGCATATGTTATGTACTAGTTGAGTCACGCCGTGCACGCACGGCGGACTCAAATTTACTCTAAAAATACAGTGAAAATTCGTCATCACTTGCAATAATAAGTCGAATTCATGTCGAATTTTAACACTGGTTGTTAAGACAAATAAGCTTCCACCGCAAAGGCCTCATTACACAATTTTATATAGACATTTGTTGCAGCTCAATTATTGTTGCAACTTTTATATATATTATGCATGTTTACATGAAAGGATGAAAACACTATTCTAAAATATAAAAAACTCATGTTTATACACATAAATTATATCTAAAAGATATCATAAAGGTAGTACACTATGTCAAAGCGAAAGAATAGAAAAACTGAATTCTGGATCCGTTGACACAAGCTCTTGCTATATTCCTATACCTTACTCTTATCAGCTCTAACAATGAACCGAGCTCCTTTTCTGTGACATGGATTCTTGTATGAGCTTGAACTGGAGTGCTCAAGGATTCTTGAGAAAAAAAAATGCAGAACTTTTCGATGCCATTGATTTGTAGCTGAACAAATACGAATATAAGTGTCCAAAACATAAAAGTTGAACCAATAAGAATCTCATATTTACCCAAATGCATGAACAATAAGAATCTACCAATGTAAAGTACAAATCTCATATAAAATCAAACCTAGACTTGTCTTCCATTCAATGAAAATTATAAGGTTCCAATATTCCAGCAACTTAACTTCACAATAATCATAAGAGGAGGGATAAATTACACCCACCACCTGCTTTGGTATTATATAATAATATTTTAATATTTGCTTGGCTTACATCAGGTGTAATAATATTTTAATATTTGCTTGGCTTACATCAGGTGTAAGGCAGTAGGCTAACCAAATTATATACTACATGAAAATTTGCAAATGAAAAATCTATAATAAATCATATTTAAGTTTAAAAATAACCTGAGCAATCAATCATCTTCTAGGAATAAGCTCTTCATGGCGTCGAGCACAAAACTCCCACAAGCATATATGATGAGATAATCCATACATAAAAAAGTTAAGCAGAAAGTCTTGAAAAATAAAAGACAAAAGTATTCTATTAGCCTATAGTATATATCTGTTGTGAAGTACTGAAGGTTAACTTAGCTATTGTTTTCATTGATTCTGAGGCAGCCCACTGATTCTTGGCATCTTTCGACATTCTTAAACTTCTCTAACGTCGATTCTAGTGTCGTGACAATGTCATCTTCATCGGCATTCAAAGGCAAATTCACGTGAACAGAACCCTGTGATTTGTGATTTCTGATTTCTAGCTCGACAGTTTCCAAACAGAAGTTTGTTGGTAGATGGAACAATAAAATTGCTACTGAAAATGATGGTCTGGAGAGAAGCAATGACCGAAAAAACTATGTAAACTATTCGAAGATCTAGAGGATCTCTTACGGCAGGAATGGGAGAGAGTAATCCGTTATCTGAATGTAAAGAATAAGTTTTTATCAAATCTAATTTGCTTATAAACTTCATAAATGTAGCCATGTGGCTTTCATGCACCAAAATCCATTAAGCCACCAAAAAGATTAGCCAAGAAACTACCTACAATAGTTCACCATGACCGCAACCGGATAACACATCAATTTTCCTCCTCGCCCTCTTCCTCTCATGGAGAAGTGGCTTCATAACCTGCTAACGTAAACTTGTTATACACTATGACATCTGATAAAAAGACATAAAAACAAGAATATACATTTGAAACCTAAGGAAGAATATTTGGACAAACTTTCCAACAAATAGAAAAGATATATGGAGCGCTAACAATGTAAGAAGTTTAAGATTTTCTCTGGGTAGTTTAGGCCATCGATTGAACAATAAAAGTCATGAGCTGTAGAAAACTAAATTAGTAAGCGGCCGATATTTAGAAACATCTTTACTGATCAATGCTAATTAATGTGCCTTTACAAGACTTGAGGCCAAAGTTTAACCCAATCATATTTATAATCTTTATGCATTTGGTTATGTGCTTGTTGTGCTTAATTTTTGCAACAGGCTGACAAAATAGAAAAGAAAAAGCACATTGAAAGTTAATCATAATGGAAGAAAGTAAAGATAGAAAATAAGCACAAGCATACTGACCATACCACTCAATCCCGATATTCGTTGAGCTGAATGTGGGATTGCATGTAATAAAGAACCTAAAATGAGGGAGACGCCAAATCAACAAATAGAAACTATAAAAATATTGAGAATAACAGTAATTTATAAGAGGTTTATTACTTAGAATTTTATGGATGTCTACTCATGTCACGAATTACTTAATAAGAAGACTTATCAATGCTTTGTGAAATGTGTTCATGCCTACTCCTACGGAAAAGAAAGGTGAGCCGTATTGATAAAAGGCTTCAAGATTATAAAGTGCACTTAAATAATAGGGTAGTGTAACTAAAAATATAATTTACAGGCATATAATCAACTTTTTTTCCAGTTTGATAAAATTCTCACCTCATTTAAATATTTTGTCTGGAAGCTTGAAAAATACTAAACTAACCAGGGAAAACAACCCTCCCATCCATCAATTTATTCTTTCCTCTCTCTAACAGATAAAGTGATTGATGACCATCGACCACCTGTTATTAGCAACGAGGCAAACAAAATAATTAGACATATAAGATACAAAAAAAGCTGGAAGGCGGTAAGTTTTCTAAAGGAAAATTCTAATAGAAAATCAAAACCTGAAAAGTAGTTCCATATCTCATAGAGCTCCCAATGCCGACCACAATTGAATCAACAAGAGGGATAGTAATATCTCATCACATGTAAACGCATAAACAAAATTTTTACTACTGATAATCTCTGCACATTAACATTATAATGATAAAGCCACACAACCAACACATTAAGTTAATACTAATTCAAAACAGATAGCTCACAGCAGAGTATGGATTCCGTGTGATTGTAATAGACTTGGGATATATTTTTAATTCTTAACTTCCACAAGAAAGTGAAAAATGTATCAAGACTTTCTTAGACCAAAGCATCAGTTAATTGCTAAATCAATGCATTGTGTATTGAAGGGCATTGCTGGGAAGTGTGAGCAATTATTGTGTGCATCACGTACATTGGTTCGTTCTCATCTTGAAGCCGCTCCCCAAACATGCTCATCACTGGTCAGAAATAAATAAATAAATAAATCCAGTAATAAAATAATGAGTGTATGACGATTTTGCTGTTTGATGAATAAGGTTATGTAGGCACGGTAGACTGTACCATGTTATCTCTCGTGTTTGAATTGATTGAATTAATAGACTGGTTTGTTCATGCTCTTAGCAACCAAAACAATTTGGCAGGTGCCCATCATATTTATTTGGTAGGTGCCCATAATATTTATAATACCACCACTTTCAAGCACTCCATTTGGTCCTACGAACACCATATCAACTGCATCCATGCTATAAGCCACAACAGCTTAACAGGAACATCAAGCTTATCAAGCTCATTGGATGTATATATATACACACACACACACAAACCTAATTCCTGATTAGGTTGTAAAATATGACTTACAGGTAGCAAATTAGCTGCCTTATCAAATACCAATTAGATATTTTTTCTTATTTTTTTTGTTATCAGTCCTGTGTAGCATAAACAGTACCCTAGACCAAGATTAGAATTTAGAGAACAATTTACATAATCAGATCTTAGTCAGCTTGTTCCTCAGTTGCTTAGCAATGTTATACTCCTCCAGATTCAGATTCAGATTCAGAGCATACTGCAAAAAAAGAACTACTAACCCAATCAAGAACCTTGTTTTTTGTCATGAAGAAAGGAAAAAACTTGGTTTTTATCTTCAAACCTGCACTCGTGTTGCCAAATCCAGCTCAAAGAAAACATCAGAATATCCTCGTTTCGTTGACACTCTGACTGTGCTCACAGCTAGAGTCCATTCGGATGCTCACCTTTGAAGTTCAACTGTGACACCTCGTATCCCAGCGGCCACGGCAGCCACCTCAGCAGATTCTACAACTACCTCTCTCTCGCATCCTCCTGCAAACCAGAAATGAATATCATCCATACCTAGAAAACAGGAATGCACGTACCAACGTCACCCATCAATCATCATTTACCAAAACTACAGACTTACCTTTTTTGGAGATTAACGAAAATGGATATTAAAAGGAAAAACAAGTGATTGGTGAACAACCAATTTATAACCAAAGAGAAGGTTCTCATTGAGTTTGCTTCAAAGCTCATAATCACAAGAAACCCAACATAAAATGAATAAAATAAATAAATAAATAAATAAAAAGAAAAATCTCACCGGTGCTGGTGCGTGTGTCCGCACCGACGATCCCCTAAGGGCATCATCCCACTGCAGCCGAACCAGCCTGGTCATTAGAACAACCAACGCTTCCTTTGCCAGCTGCACCATACTCCATGAGAAAATATCCAGCGCAGAACAGACAAAGACAGACAGTACCTGCAGAACAATCACAATACCACACCAACAGTATGTTAAAATGAAAAACACCAAGAAGAACGATCTAACACAACATATTTTGTTCTACCACAGCAACGTACATGTCCCCGACAGTGGCATCTATGCAAGCAGCAGCCCGATTGTCTGAATCTCAATTAAGTATGAGGATTTGGGAATGAAACTTTAAGGCTGAGATTGTTCGCCAGAGAGAGACTCAATGACACGGACCTCACCGGGTACCGAAGAAAAATAAGATTAGGTGGATGATGAATTCGATGTGTGTTAGTTGAAATTCTCGAAATTAATTGCAGCAAAGGCCCTTCTCGAAGCCAATCCAGTGTCAATCGAGCTTTCGCCAGATAAGGGCAAATGCCACTCGTATATGTGTGCTGCATTAAATATGTTTTTTTTTTTCAAGACCTTCATCGATGCTTAATAACTATGGAATTGAAATGGATTTATATTCTTACATGGTTTCCTCGTATGGGTATGATTTCATCCATAGAAAAATGAAGTTAAGAAAAAAAAAATATAAGCAGGGGATGAATAATCTAAGACAGATGGCATGGAAAGTTTACCGGTTTTGGGTTCGGGGACCGATCTTGATCGGACTCGGAAATAGACACGGACAAATGATGAGCCGACCGCCTTCCTGTGGCGGTGCGCACCTGCAGCGAAACCGCGCCGCTCATCAGCGCCAGGGGCAGTGAGTAGCTCCTTGCCTTCCCGCGGTTAGGGTTTTTTCTCGGTGAAGTCTAACCTTCGAATTGTTGGGAAAGATTCTTCCCCTTTGGCTCGCAATGCTTCCAGCCACCATGGTGCGGCTGCTGACGGGTGACAACGGCGATTTCTTCTTTTTTACCTGTTTGTTTTTCTGTTTGTTGGGTTGGGGTTTGGTGAGAGGAGAGACGGGAGAGTTTGGGCGATGTTTGCTCAGCCGGTCAGTTCCGATGCCGATGGAGAGAACTTGTGGCTGAGCGTGTTAGACAGAGCGGCGGAGGAGACGATTGATGCGAGTTGTCGCCATTGTCACCCTCGAAGGATTGATGATGGGTTTGGTTAGATAAAAGTGAGAGGGGAAAAAGAAAGTCGGTCGAACAACGTTTGATTTCATCTTTTGACGCGATGGTTTTTTTTTTTATTTTTTTTTAATTTTTTTATTTATTTATTTTTTTTGACGCGATGGTTGCGTGTGAGGGGATTCCGTAGCAGTCGGCAAAAAATGCCCCACACGAACACGCAAAAGCATAAGAAAATAAGGGGCCAGTAAGGCATAAAATCACCTTAAAAAATTGTCAGCAAAAAGGTAAACCCAAAACTAGCGAAAAAGAGCCCCAAAGACAAATATTAAGACAATGGCAAATCGTAATTTAAAAGGAACACTTGTCAGCTTGTAAGCATGTCTAAAATGGACACTTGTCAACATTTAAAGGTCACACACTTATTCATATATAGATAAGAGAGATAAGAGAGATATATAGATAAGAGAGATAATACTGTTGTATGAACACTTTTAGTATATTTTTATGAACAGCTGGAATTAAGTGAATCATAATCATCCATATTAATCGCCAAATAATATATATAGATGTAGACTTAGATGACATTTTATGTGATTGTTATATATGGTTTAAAAATAAATAAATCAATTAAAATATTCTTTTATTTTATAAAAAATTCAATAATGAATAAAAAATCATATATAATGGTTATGAACAACATTACATTAGATTCTGAAATATGTATAAATACAATAAAAAATTCTGGTACTGAAATAGTTGACACAGTGAGGCATAAATACCGATAGCTTTATCCCATAAAAACTCTTGTTTACTTAGATAATAATAACAGATGATTTTTTTTATTGGTTTTTAATTAGATAATACAAGATTTTTTTTACGTAGACAGAATAATTTGAGAATACAATCCGAAAATAATACATAATACATATTGGTTTTTAATTAGATAATACAAGATTTGTTTACGTAGACAGAATAATTTGAGAATACAATCCGAAAATAATACATAATACATGGAATTGGAATGTATGGTGCTTGACTAATTGATGATTTAACTTGTTGATATTGAAGGGAGATTTTTTTTGTTGGATTTTAGTTAGGATTTTTTGGTTTTTAGTTTCATAATACAAGTTTGAGAATACATTTTGTTAATGAGAAGATAATACATTGAGGCGTCGTTTACTTTGCAGGATGGGATAAGACAAATTAATCAAGCCCATTTGCCATGTCAACTTTTAGTCCCTCGTTTACTTTTCGGGATGGAATTTGCTTAAGTTAGTCCCGTGTTTACTTCGATGTATTAACTGAGATGATATAGAATCCAAAGACTAGATTGCCCTTCTCTGAATAAATCGATTTTTGCCATTTCAAACTAGAATTCATTTTGCCCTATCTCTGCGCGACCGACGAGAAGGCAACCTTCACTCCCGCCGAAGAGCCGCCACTCCTTCAAGGATTGAAAGCCGACGACGTCCCCCCGATAGCTACGACCGTCGACAGATCCGAAGACCGGTAAAGCAGTGAGAGGTACGCCCATTTTCCGGCAATGAATGACCTAGTCGGTTTCGATAGCTAGTCCTTCAATTCTTTAGTCGCTTTCGATTTTTGCCTATGGTTCGTGAAATTGAAAAATCTTTGTGAAATTGAAAAATCTTTCGATAGCTAGTATCCTTTCACTTTCGATTTTTGCCTTTTTTTGAACCCGAAGCCACCAGTTTCAGAACAATGTCGCGGTTTAGGGTTCTGCAGAAATTAGGGGAAAACGCTCGATTTCAAACATGGCCCAAAAACTTAATCGTCTGATCTGAAAAGTTGCCCTACCCCAAACTTCGCCGCGTGAGAGGAAGAAGCGACGAACATAGCCTTGCCGATAAGCCGCGTGTCATTTTTCCCTAGCCCAAATTTGGCCGCGTAAAAAGAAGAAGCGACGACCAACGCCTTGCCGATAAGCCGCGACAACCTGACCCCCACCGTGGACGACGAGCTTCCGAGAAATACTGTTGAAGTGGTACCGACCGGACGGCCTCGCAGGTAACACAAGTCATGGGTTGTTTTATGGTTTCTTTTTCGATGTATCTTGTGTTCTATTACCACACATTCCCGGGCTTTAATTGAAATTGGATTTGTCAATTGAACTGTGGTATGATCTCCATTCGGAACTGTGCCCCTCGTAGATTTTTTTCCATTTGCTGTTGGTAGAAGTTGAAGGAAGCAAACGAAGAATGCAGTCCATTTTTTTACATTACTATACTATTCTGTAATGTTGAAAACTGTTCACAAATTTAGAAATATAGCAACTACTTTGTAGGTTACCTTTACAATTAGCCACCCTTCTTTGTTTTTGTGTTGTTACCTTTGAGAGCCACTGAATGAGCTTTCATTGCAACATAGGAACTTCTGCAATTACTGAAATTTCATACTAGGTTATTGTAGCTACCCATTAGAAATAGCCATCCTTGAAGGTTATTGTAGCTTGCATATATATGAACAAAACAAATGCAGCTTGTGCAATTAAACTGATGAGGGATTATTGAGTGTTTCATGTGAACATGATCAGGCACTGATTTTTTTGACAACTTTTATTGAGTGTTTCATGTTTCATGTTTCATATGGGCTGTAATAAAACCATGTAAATTAAGGCGTCGTTTGCTTGGATGGATAGGATAAGAGGCTGTTGAATTGAACAACTTTTAACAACCGAACTTTTTTATTTTAAATCAGGTTGTTGAATTGAAAGCCTGCTATCCTAGTACTTTTCAGTTTTCCAAGCAAATAACCATGTCACAGCGTTCAAACGCGAGTTCAAGCAACCGGTATTACAGATCCTCCGACAGTAGGCCGATGGAGGTCAGGTTGTGCCATCATCACGAGGAATGCGTCGTGTTGACATCAAATACGGATGACAACCCGGGTCGAAGGTTCATCAGATGTCCTCGTTGGAAGGTATATTTTTTATAACACGTTGTCGAATGTTAACTACATGATATTGATTTTCGTTGACTAAAGTAAATGATATATTTGGTTAGTGAGAATTTCACATTCGGTTTTTGCCTTCGTCTTATGCTCATTTATGACAGACGGATGACCCGCCTTGTAACAAATTTGAATGGCTTGATCCTGAAATGCCGCCGTACGGAAAAAATTGTCTTCAGAGGTTGAAGGCTGAAAAGGGAAGGCTCCACGAGCAATTAAAGTTCAAAAATGAGATGGAGCAACTGCTCTTCGATAGGCTTCAGTTAAAATGTGCAGAGATACGTGCATTGGAAGATGAGAAGAATGTGTTGGTGAAGAAATTGGAAATTGAAGCAAACAAAATTGTCGAACTGGAGTTGCGACTTGAAGGTGTTCACCGTGAAGCTCGAACTTTGGAGAAGAAGTTCACATATATGAAGTCTACATTTTACTTCATTGTTTGCTTTGTTTTCCTGTATTTTATTTTTAAATAAGGATGGATAGATAAACTTTGTTGTGGTGCTCCACTAATGTTTAATACAGTTAACTGAATTATTTTGCCCAAACTACTTTTGTGAAACTACTTTCGAATTGGCAGGATGTTTGTATTTCATTCAATTATGTGGAATCTTGCGTGTAAAGTTATGAAATATGTCTAGTGAATTGAAAGGACATGTGTACAAATGCAGATCAAAGCAGGTCTACTTGTAGGTGTCGGCTTTTGTGCAAAGCTGAATGGATATGTTTTTGCTGGCTTTTGACTTGTCAGGACATGTGTGTGTTGAATTCAATTTCGGGGAATCGTAGTTGTAAACATATAAAATGTGTTTTTTTCATGAACAGGACATGTGTACAACGGAAGTGCACATTGATAGGATAAGGCTAGGTTTGCATTTTTTCTGCAATGCTAATCTGATAGGTCTTTGGCGTGGTATGCAGCTTTTCTGCAAAGGTACATTTATAGGTAAATAGCAGCATATGTAATTTAAATTAATGTAAAAATGCATTATTGCTCGTTTTTGCATGCGCAAAACAAAGAATGTGACCACTCGACTCATGTTTTCGGTCAACAATGTCATAATCGAGGGGACATGCAATGACCACTCACTACACACGTCTACATGTAGGTTTCAGCTACTTATGCAAGGCTGCATTGAATAGACATGACGAA